TGAAAAAAGTCAAGCTGTATTAATACTGATATAGGTAAAGTCTATACCGGTGTCCAGAGTCAGAACTAAACATGGGGAGGCTGCATTTCAGATATATGCAGCTAAAATCTGGAACAGTCCTCCTGAAAATGTGAGAAAGGCTTTTTATCTGTCAACGTTCAAATCCAGGTTTAAAACTGTTATTTATAGCTGTACATACCTGAGGGATTTGTTTCTCTTTTGAATGTGATTATTTATGATTTTAATGCCACTTTGAGTTGCCTTGTGTGTGAATTGTGCTATACAAATAAACTTTCCTTGCCTCACTTTTGAAAAAGCACTGTAATCTCATATCAGGAGCGAGGGTCTGTGAGTTTTACGTAGACATTTTACATATTATTGAAACTACTTAACAATTCTCAGAAAACTCTATGAAACCAATCCCATGTGAATCGGTCTCTAATTTCCCAAGCGGAAACATGTTTTGTTTGATATTGAGTGACCCATGAGCCCAGGGCCTGAGCCGCAGAGAGCTCGATATTCTAAGTACAGTGTGATCACATGATCCGGGACGCGACCAGATCGATGACTCCAACGCTTGAACTCCACCACATGCACGAGAGCCGTCTATCCTGTTGAAGTGGGAATTTCTATTATTCTATTCAGAGAGTCAGGACATGTTTGCTAATGGAGAGAGGCGGCTACAAGCCACGTGGGGCATTTCATCTTACAGTACAGTGTGTCAAGAGTCTCTGCATTTACACGAAGAGGCATGAAGCTCTGGATTAATCTTGATAATATCCTAAAAAAAACCACAACAACTCATTACAATCAAGAAACACTTTAGACTCTTTGTATTACAGAAATATGAACGCATTGTATTCACGCATTGTAAATACTTCTATGTGATTGCAAACATTTGAATAAAGGTTCTCTTATCTTTTCTTAAATCCTTCTGATTTTCATCTATTTGCTGTTATGACAAATGCACAGATTATGTCTGGCATGAGGGGTCGGTGTTCATAAACTCTCCTTTTAAGCAACAAGATGGCTGTAAATACTTTTTTTCTTTTATAAAGATTATTGTATGTTTAAAAAAAAACCTAGAAAATGCCTATTTTTAAAGGCATGCCCAAGAAACACCTTTTTAGATTAGCTTTTGATTAGCTTTTAGATAGTATGTATTATTTATTATTGAAGTTTATATATTCTATTAATCTTTTAGACAAACTTCTAAATAACTTTTCATGATTTTATCTTATATGAAGTGACTGTATGTGTGCGTGTGCACGTGTTTGTGTGTGCGCGTGTTTGTGTGTGTGCTTGCGTGTGTGTGTGTGTGTACTGTAGGTGTATCTGTTTAACTAGAACGTGAAGCGCTTTGTGTTGCATTTATTTGGGGAAAAAAAAACGCTTTATGAATAAAATTTTACTAATTAATCAGTAAATACATCAATAAATAAAAAAGTGTATTTAAACCTTAGTTACCTTTTTAACATAAGTCAAATGCCATGCCATGGGCAGCATGGTGGCTGAGTGGATAGCACTCTCGCCTCTCAGCAAGAAGGTCCTGGGTTCGAATCCCGGTCGGACCAGGGCCTTTCTGAGTGGAGTTTGCATGTTCTCCCCGTGTCTGCGTAGGTTTCCTCCGGGTACTCCGGTTTCCCCTACCACTAAAAATATGTCCAATGGTTCTGGCATGCGCCTCCTGTACTGGCGACCCCGCTCCTGTCTCTGTGTGGAGTGAGAGACAAATGCCCAAAATTAACAATTGTAAACCGCTTTGAGACTCAAATCTGCAGTGAAAAGGCGGTATATAAATAAAAACTTACTAACTTACTTACTAATAGGGCCAAAGAGTGAGATGGGGCAAAACTTCGTCCATGAGCACTTCTCTATTGGGTGTCATTGAGATAGGGTGTTTTAGCATTATCCATCTATATACAGTCTTTATAAAAACCAATGTGACCGTGCCCATAAGTCTATGTCACCACAACAGTCAATCTGACGCTCCATCCTTCTCTCGCTCGTGAACAAGACCCCGAGATCCGTTCCTTGAACTCCTCCTCTCCGTCTTTCATGTGTCGTCTCATTATAATACCAGTGTGGTTAAATATATTGACATTATCACTCCAAAGGCACAAACACCGCCTAACGCCTCTGGGTGTAAAGTGCCAGGGTTTATCCATTATACTGTATAAAATGCACAATGCCTGATGGACGCAGCTTATGACGTAAGACCATAATCACGTCTTTCTCAGAGTGTGGAATAATGCACGGCCTGTTTACTGTGTGCCAACTTCCATCGTTACCATGTATTAAGTGTGTGCTAAGCCTGCTTATGTCTGCCGCATGGAAACTGGGTTATGCAGTATGTATGCGTACTACGGCAAAGTAGGGCACGGAATGCAGGCCGATTTCACTGAACCTTCCACGAAATTGAAAGCAATTAACATTAAGGCGCTTTGATTATGACAATGACACAGGATTAAGGCAGATTGGAAGCAGAGACAGAAGTGAAATTATGAATGATAAAGCTATTGCTATTGTTATCCTATTGATTGGTCGCGTGTTGTGGTACTACTGGGACTAGGACCGGCCTGGGTCTTACTGGGGTACAGTGGTCATTGTTGCAGAATTAGCTTTATTAAACTGTTCAATCGCACTGAACACAACAAATGATCATGAAGTTATCATTATTGAATGCTAAATAACTATATTCATGAATTATGTTCATGGGGTTGGAGTCTACAAGTTTCTAATTCTTTCCCAGAAATGCGTTTGTAAATACATAATGAAACTTTAAATATACAGCACATGGTGAAACAAAGGCAAATATTGTTGCTTGATTGTATATTTATGTTTACATATTTGCATGTGTAAGTGTATACTGTAAGCACAGACAGAAACATGTACATGGTCATATAAACTAATTAATAAAAAAAAATAAAATAATTATGAATGTAAAATTTCTGCTCGAAATAAATTAATAATCAATCACAGATTTGAATGTGTGACAAAAGTTTAAGAAAGTTGACCATTTCAGTAGGTTGATTTTTGGCCCGGAGCTCATTAGGGTCTGCAGACAAACAAACACTGGTAAAAGTGCCTCGGATTTCCTCTTTTGTTCACATTTTAATGTGTGTCCTATCCCTGTATTGTCCTACGTTTGAAGATTCAGTGCTCAGAAAATGTATTTTTCATCTACTTTGTATCTCTGCCCATTTCACCACTTTTCTATGGCAACCTACTGTGACATATGAATGACCAGTTCCATTCAGAAACTGAGTCAAAGACCATTTATGTTGCACCGGTGGATCTCTGACCAGTCAGTGCAGAATCAACAGGAGAGGACAAAGCATAGATCTATACTATACACTAGACCAGGCTTCTCCAACCTGTAGCTCGAGAGCCATCAGTAGCTCGCCGCCCCCTTCCAGCTTGACAAAGGATTTAGAAAAAAACAAATCAAATTATATACTTACTATTTCAGATAGAATTATTCATTGTATTATTGTAAATGCACTTACTTTGTCACTAGTAACAAATATACAATGATAAATAATGACTGTCCCCAATATCAGGCTCATTCACACCAATATATCACCACATCTGTCACACGACCGCATAAAGGAGGAGCTCTCTGCCTTTGTCGTACTGGGAAAGTAGCTCTCTGGGTGAAAAAGGTTGGAGACATCTGCGCTAGAGTATGTTGTTCATTAAACCTAACTTTTCCCCCAGATTGTATATATATGGACATTGCTAACCTAATCGCTCAATCAAGCGTACAAGGAAAGTGATCAAGGACGAAGTTTTGTTCATTCTTAGTCTGGCTCCTAAAAATCATCCCAGGAATCCATGGTTTGTCGCTCTCTTTGACCCTGGTGTTTATATTGTGAAGTTGTCTTTTTAAATCCAGATATGAGCTCTAAAGAGGAGGTTTCAAGCTGCCTCGTAGCAGAATTCGGCCTTAGCTAGAGAGTAGCTGGAGTGGGGACAGACCGGCGTCGCTCTTGATTGGTGCTTGGTAACTCGCCCAATGCACCCAACAACATTTGCAGACATCTGGCTCCACATTCTCGCTCAAATAGCCTGTTTGAGTTAGCTCTAATTGACTTCGTCCTCATTAAGGAAAAATCTATGGGTGGCTCAATCATTGTTTAAGTGACAAATAGTAACAAAAGTTTGTTCCATTAGAATGCAAAATGTATAATGTATATATAGATAGATGGATAGATATTTACAAATAGGTAAGAAACATGCAGTAGCAGCTACTTGCGCTACTGTGCACTGCAACATTGAAATTTCCCCACTGTGGGATGAATAATGGTTCTCTTATCTTATCTGTCTGAAAAAGCTGAGATATGACAAAGGAAAAATAAAAATAAAAATTTGCTAGGTTTTATCATTATAGTTACTTACATAGTATCATAATATTATCATAGTGACATTTTTTATTTTATTTTTTTGAAAGTTTGGGAGCCCAGTTTTAATGTTAGAAATCTGAAAACCAATTTATTTGTGAAAGCTGTAGGTGTGTTGTCAGCTGAACATGGGAAAAATTCTTTCAATTTAACAACTTTATTTATCAAGCATTGCCCTATCTAGGTTATAAAATGTATATCAATGCACCAAACAGACCTCCATCACAGCCTTGGTGTAGACGCTGAGAGTAAAGGAGGTGGACTGTCTCTAGATTTAAACCTTTGTCTGTGTAGCGTCCTCAAACAGATGGAGCAGGAATGCAAGATCTCATCCATCCAGGTCTCATCCAAATCCATCAGCTCTGAGGTGTGGTCATGGAGGAGTGGAAGAGGAGTCCAGGCCACTTCAGCAAAGTTCTGTTTTAGATCTAAATATTTTTCTGTATTTGGTGACAAAAGTTCAATTGAAAGGGCTTTAACATAATAGAAAACACAAATAAGACCTGCATTCAAAGGATATGAAACAAATATGTTTATTATTCCAGACACATTTCTCAGGGAATGGTTTAACTCATAACTTGCATATTGTTCCAGGGGTTATAGAAGTGTTTTGTAGAAGAGCCAGCAGAGGGCAGAAGAGAGCAGAGTTCTTCCAGGGGTCACAGATCCTGTTCCAGCGGCCAGTCCCAGACGTGGGGATGCTAGAGCAGACCAGAAGTTTAATTTTGTAGTTTATTTTAACACATAAATACTCTTTCTGAAGGTGCGACTTCAACTGCAAGATTTCATACATAAAGTTTAAATTCTAGTGTGCAACATTCTACAGAGGTCTACAACCAGTTCCTAAGACAATTCACAGGAAGTATATTTGATATTTCTATAATGCCATGAAAATACTGTTTCCAACAACAACAAAAGAAAGCACTAGAAGAGTGAGCAGATATTTACATAGTAATATTGTTTACTAATACATTCATTCAGCCTATAGCGTCGCAAGAAATATATATATATGATATATATACAGTATATATATATATATATATATATATATAAAACTGACTTACAACAGCTGTAAGTCACCAAACTCATTTCATTTTCAACCCCTTTGTCCATTTCTGGGTCGGGGGGGTGGCAATGAGAGCTGACACCCAATGCTCATAGCACCAGGCCCTCGCTGATCTTCTGCAGGGGGTGAGTCCACAGGAAGATGGCTGCTCCGTCAATTGTGAAACAGCCTTGATCTTTCAGCAGGGGGCTTCAGGCAATGTGGGGTTAAGTGTCTTGCCGAAGGACACAACGACAGCAGTCATCAGTGGGAGCAGTTGGAGTAGGTCCCATGGTGGGAATCGAACTCACGACCTCCAGGCCCAAAGGCCAATGCTCTACCAACTGAGCTACTGTCGCCCCAGTTCTAATGATAATAATCATAATACATTGTACTTTTACAGCATTTTTTTTTTTGGATACTCAAAGACGCTTTACAGAAGATCAGATAAGAAATAAAAATAAAAAGCTAAAAAATAAACAGTTAAGTGTAGGCAGTTTAGAACAGGTGGGTTTTGAGAAGTGTTGGAAGTTCTGTTGTGAGTTTCAGATGGGGAGTTCAGCAAAGGTTCGGTCCCCCAGGGTTCGCACTTTGTTCTGAGGATATTCTCTAATTTATCAACATTGAATTCAAACTGTACGCGTAGTTGGATATCACATTTATATTAAAAGAGTTTGATAATTTGACCGAAACAGTTTGGAACGTTTTCCTCCAATAATGGTGTCCAGGCCCAATTGTACGTTTTTTTAAAGCAGGTCATTATTGCACAATTACTACCTAGCTCCTGTTGTTGTATGTTGGGCTACATTTAGCAGAAAAGCCCTGACATGTTATTCAGTTTGCTTATGTTTCTCTAATATAGGGCTCTGGGGCATCTGACCACTGATCAATCAGAGTCAGGGTTTTGGATGAGAAAACAAAGTAACAATAGTGAAATAAGAGAATAAGTATTTTTTGCAGTTTTATGCAGTATTTGATTGTGTGATGTGGACAATTGCGTTATGCCCTGAGGCGAGCACTGGACCTGACGTTCTGATGGAGTTTATCTGTGATTACATTACCTCTAAAGAGAGCACTGGACCTGACGTCCAGCCAGTAAACAGTTCTCTGCTGAGCCACCGTCGCCCTAAAGACAAAACAGAGAGAGTAGAGTATGTGTACAATGTGCAGTCCATAGAACAGAAAACATGTTTAATGCTTTGGTACTTAAGTTTCAAACCGCAAAAAAGGAACTATATAAAAAAATCATCACAGTTTCATTCTTATACTACTCTACTGTATATAAATGTCTGTTTTGGTCTTTGTCGCATCTTTAGATCAGCTTTTCTGGAGAGAAAAGTGAAAAAAGAGAGGACCACCCACCTCAGCCAATCAGCTCTCAGTCCAAATGGTCAAATAGTGACTCACAGGGTTATGTACAAGTATATGCAAAAGTAAACGTAATGATAAGTTAATAGTTGTCCTCTAACTTTTACTTTAACAAGACACTTTTGGACAAACTAAAACAAAAAAATGTAGAAACCGCTGCTTTAAAATTCAACGGAGAACATTGGCAAACCAGACACACTGTTGAATGAATATTTCAATTGTTCAAAATTAAATGTATGATAGTTAAATAGTTTATGTACTCGCTTCTACACTTATGCAAACCTGTGAAATTTTGTCACACAGGCCAATGCATCCACCCTGGTCACACAACTCTATATATCTGTGACACATCTCAAATAAAAACCTGAACTCAAAATACTGTAAATGTAAGGCGTGTGTTACATGAAGTAGATGGGTCGGATGGTGTTTGGAGGCGTCCAGCTGAACACGGTGGAGTTTCCCTTGACGTTGGTGTTGGCGTGGGTCACAGCGCCCTGAGGGTTCCCCGAGCACTGTGGACAAAACAACAAAGTGCAGTTCATAAAGTCATAACAAGTCCCAAACTGATCAACCACCTTTCCTTCACTCTGACCTTTACTTTTGTATTTATTGGGGTTAAAACAATGTGAGAAATTATCAGAACAGTCATAGATTAGTGCTTAAATTGTCTCTCAGAGCTGGATTGGGATTAGGGGAATAATAGTTTTCGTATTCTCAAAATGTTTTTGATTATTCAAGATGAGATTAACTTTACTGAGCTCACAATAGAGAAATGTACATACCACATTTGAGACAGGAAGTGTGCGAAGATGTTAAAAAGTGAAAATATAGTCTCTTTTGTGCTGTAGACAGGGCTAGACTGGGACAAAAAAACGGCCCGGGAATTTTTTCCTTCTTAGCGGCCCAGGCAACTCAAAAGGTTCAAGGAGCCATATTTGACAAAAAAACTAAAAACAACATCTGTCTGGAGCCGCAAAAAAAACAGCGTTGTATAAGGCTTATATGAAGGTAACAGGGGCTGAAGCTGTATTAGCTATATTAGCTGTATACATTAGCTATATTAGCTATATTAGCCTAATATCTAAATGACAAAGTAAAGGCTACAAACACATAAAAACCATTCATGATTATCAAATGTGTATTTTCACTGCAGCGTGTCCTGGAGAGAATGACACACCACGTGACGACTCTGCTTTAAGTTTAACCTTCATGCAATTGTACAAATACAGTAAATAAATCTGCTTTTTGGCTCCTAGTTCACCTGCATCACTGTCTGTTCATATCCATCACATCACAGGCTGAAGTTTGCTGGAGCTGAATGTCCTTAATGGCCTTTTCTTTCACTGTCTTTGCGAAGGTATTTGAAGTCTGAAAATAGGTGCTCTGACTTTATGATGAATGAATCTTTCAGTGAACAGTGTTTAAAGCTTCATTGTTCCTCGTGTTGCAACAAAACTTTTCATTACATCTCAAACATAAAGCAGTCCTTCCTCATTGACTGAAAGCAAATGTTCATTCTCATTCTTACTCCAGTCTTATCGACTCTTCCTTTCTTTATCTTTGGGATCCATGCTCACACGCCGGTTTGTTCAAAACAGCGGCCGCCTGGCGCGGGCCGCGTCACAGGATATGACGCACTACGTTGACAGAAATGCTAAAATTGAATATTACTTATACAAGTTTTTGCAGCATTGAAAAACTTTAAGAATGTTTTTCCTCCTACAGAAACCACATTCAAACTAGAAATAAAATATAGCCCTCCCACTCCATTTTCAGACATTTTTTAAAAGGCTCCAGGAGCCACTTTAGGGGCACTAAAGGTTGCCGACCCCTGGAGTATACAGTATGTGGAAGCAAATACTGTAGAGGATCAGGATGTCTGCAGTTTCAACAATAAAATAAAGTACAATAGTCTACATTAAACAGAGTAATAAACATGTCCCAGAGTGAGGGAGGTGGGCACAGACAATACTATTGTTTGTTACAGGGATGAGAATTGGTCAAAAACGTCTGAAATGCATATTGTCAGCCATTTGCTGGCTCTAAATCTGTTTAATCTGTTCACAACATTTTACTTTTGGGCTCAAACATGAACTTTTAATGCGATGGGAAATTTAGGTACCCGAGCTTTAATTTAGAGGAGAGGGGAGACGCGAAATGTTTTCTGCAGCGGTGTATTTATTGGGTGCACAAATTACGAAAAGACACGCATGGTCCTGTGCGCGTTTATGGTCTTGGGTACATGGGCACGTTGCGGCTACGCGCTCACCGTGTTGTGTGTTGTAGTACGACCACATTAGTCCGGTCCTCAGGTCTCTGCACTGGCTTCCTGTGGCTCAGAGAATAGATTTTAAAGTAGCTTTACTTGTGTACAAGTCTCTCCATGGCCTCGCACCAGGGTACATCCGCGACATGTTGGTGCCATATGAACCAACTCGGGCTCTGAGGAGCACAGGGACTGGACTTCTGTTAGTGCCAAGAGTCGGAACTAGACATGGGGAGGCTGCGTTTCAGATTCATGCAGCTAGAGTCTGGAACCGTCTTCCCGAGAGTGTGAGACAGGCGTCTACTCTAGCAGTTTTTAAAACTGAACTGAAAACAGTTCTTTTTAGCTGTGCATACAAGTGAATGATTTTACATTTGTTTTTATCTTTAATCTTTTTAATGCGCTATGATTATTTATGATTATTTATGATTGTAATCCCTTGTGTGATTTTAATTTTTTACGGTTTTTAACTACTTGTGTGATTTTATATATCTTGTGCTCTTAATCTGTCTTTTTATGTTTACTTAAATTCTAATGTTTGATGATTTATGCATGATGTTATATGGGTTGTGAGGCGCTTTGCGTTGCCTTGTGTAGGAAAGGCGCTCTATAAATAAACGTTGATTGATTGATTGATTGATTGTGTTGTGAGCGGTTCCTGCGTCCAGCTCAGAGCCGCTGGATGCGGGAACACTGCGGCCGCTGAGGTGGTGGAATCCCGTTCCAGTACATACAGCAGGTGCCCCGCGGACACGCGCGCCCCCTCGAACAGTTCTCAACGGATTTACACTTTTCACAAACATGTTTTTTGTATGAGGCAGACAGACCGGCCCAAATATGGGCATCGGCCCTTCTGGCATTGCCCGGTACGCCCGATGGCCAGTCCAGCCCTGGCTGTAGATACTGTATATTATGTACAATAGAAATTAAAAGTGACTTTTGCAGCGCGAGTTTTTCAGTCCTTGTGCAAGTTATTAAAGGATCAGAACAGTCGTAGATTAGTGCTTTAAGTGTCTCTCAGAGCTGGATTGGGATTAGGGGAATAATAGTTTGCATATTCTCTGCAAAATAAAGACAAAAAATGGTTGGTTATTCCAAACATTATACTTGTTTCTTTATAGGATAGCACTAGATGTTCACTTATCTTTTACTGTGTGCTCCTTATTCAAACTGTTCTATAACTTGTGATGCAACACTGAAATTTCCCTGCGGCGGGACAATTAAAGGATCTCAATCTTAATTAATTATGCTAAAATTGGAGATTTTATTTTAGAATAGAGTTATAAAGGTAAAGGGTTTTTTTAATCCCCGTTGGGAAATTCATCCTCTGCATTTGACCCATCCTGATGCCACATTGTGCATGTTTTTAGCGGTAGGGGAAACCGGAGCACTAGGAGGAAACCTATGCAGGCACAGGGAAAACATGCAAACCCGACCAGGATTCGAACCCATCTTTCTTTCTGAGAAGTGAGAGTGCTATCCACTCAGCCACTGTGCCACCAATCTCTTCAGTGTTTGTGTATCTTGTCTTCTGTGGTCCTCATTCCTGCTGTTATGTAACCGCTGATGCAACACTGGCATTTCCCTGCTGTGGGACGAATACAGGAGCTCTTTATGATCAGATCTGAACCAATCAAGAGTTCTCTCACATGATGTGTTCCGTGTGAGATGTGGTGCTCTGACCTCCAGGAAGCGTGTGTCTGGAGGGGGCATCTGCCACGAGCCCAGGGCGGTGGTGTCTCCGGGGGTCCGGGCCTCCAGCAGCACCCCTCTGTAAGCCGGACCAACGATGGTCACTGTGAATAAGAAGGTGCAGATCTTCAAATATAATATCTATAGATATTCTAATCTAGGGGTGTCAAACTCATTTTGGTCAGGGGCCAAGTTTGGAAACATAAGAGCTAACATAAGAGTAACATTTACTGTACCTACATTATTATTTTTGTTTTGATTCAATCACAACTGGGCCCAATATATGTAAAATATAAAAAAATAAATCTTTGACTTTTCTTAATTTCTAATTAATTCAATCAAATGGTTGTTTTCCTGAGAAAGTAAGCTTAAAATTAAGTTACTGAAATAATGTTAATTGAAAATTATTTCAGGGGACACTAAAACTGGTCTTGCGGGCCTGGATTTGGCCCACGAGCCTGCGTTTGAGAGGCCTGTTCTAATCTATCGAGTGAATGGATGGTGTTGATTGGGGCTTTTATGCACCAGTGTGTTCGGCGTCTCGTTTCCGTCATCACCGGGTGTGGGGTGAATGCAACAATATCTGATCTCTGAACATTGTCAAGCACTTTGGGGAACCTTGGTCTGTAAAAATGCGCTATATAATTAAAATTACTTACTTCCTATCTAAATACAATTTGGCACTGTTTGGTCCTTTTTATGCCATGAAGTGTACGATGGTCTTTGTGTCATGGTGACACAAAGAAGGTTGGAAAGAACCGCCTCCTCAGAATGAACGCCTTTTAAAATGTGTTTCACATTTCACCAGGATGATTGACAATTAGGAGGACCAATATTTTAGATGATCCTGCCATATGCCTTTAACATTCTACGCTAAAATCCTTTGGTGACATGTAAAATGTTGCATTAAAATGCTTCATTATCCAACTACTAAGTTTATGAAAACACAATTAAACATTATACAACAGAAGAAAAATCTTAGTTTATGATCGTTCATAATGATGTAATTGTTTGGATCATTTATCTCTAAGGCATCTAGTAGTAGTAGTAGTAGTAGTAGTAGTAGTAGTAGCTGTTGTAGTAGTAGTATCTGTAGTAGTAGTAGTAGTAGAAGCTGTTGTAGTAAGTAGTAGTAGTAGTAGCAGGAGTAGTAGTAGTAGTAGTAGTCGTAGTAGTAGTAGTAGTAGTAGTAGTCGTAGTAGTAGTAGTAGTAGTAGTAGTAAGTAGTAGTAGTAGCAGTTAATTTATTGTCTTTGTCATTATGAGTATTAGATGTCAGGTTTTCAAAGATCTTCTTCATCTTTATAAATCAGTCAAAGTCATCATCGGAGCGTGTGACATCACCTGTGATTGGAGCTCCAGGACTGAACTCGTTTGCGTTGGTGAGCAGAGTGTACGGTGGAGGAGAGGTCTGCGGCTCCACTCCCATGTGACGGGGGATCATGTCCACACAGGCCCCTGTGGGGGCGCCAGAGGGGTACGCCTGCCCCCCACTCAGGCACAGGAGAGAGAGGACAGCCATCTGAGCTGCACCCATACTGAAGCAAGCATCCAGGTTACTGTATGTAGCTCCATAGACTGAGTGCAGATGGACAATGCTACCCCCAAGCTCAATGACGCCCAAGAGGGAAGTGCTCATGGATGAAGTTTTGGCCCAACTCGCTCTGGCTCCTATTGTTCCATACCCTCATGCTGCTAACATGTACAGATGTAAACATACAACTATATATTTCTTGCGCTAGAATATACAGTACCTTATACTTGCTTCTTTATTACGCTAAACTCAGAAATCTTATTCTTAATTCTTGCTTCTTTGTCATGCTAAAGTTGTAGATTTTAGACTTTCTTCTTTATCATGCTAAATCTAGAGATGTTATTCTTTCTTTATTATTATGCTTAAATTAGAGATTATATTTAATTTTAGTACAGCGTTATTGTTCACTTATTGTGCTGTGTGTTCCTCATTCTTACTGTTCTGTAACTGGGGATGCGACACTGAAATGCCTTAGCAACCATCTTAGCAACACGTCTGCCCCTGTTACGATGTGAAGCTAACGTCGTCGGAACAATTTTCCATACAAGGAAATTGGCTTCTTCTGCATTCGCACTATGGATAATGTCAGCAGTCGTACTGATCATAGGTTCCAAGTGTGATGTTTTCACCAGGGTTTGTTAGTCTTCTTACAACATTTCTCAAATGGTTATTGGAGGGAGAAGGAATCTGAATCACCATCTAAATGTGTTTAAGGAATGGAACTGCGCTTCACAGATGCTTTTCCAATTGATTATTGTGAGAATTTTTGGGTGAGGAAAAAAATGACTTAAATGACTCTGGCAAATCTTGGTTAAAATTCAAGCTAAACGGAAAAAACCAGCCTTAAGCGAATTGCAGCTAGTCATCAATGCACACACTCCCATTTAAATGGATAAATAAACGTTTCTTAGTAAAATATATTTAGTAGTAGTTTATTTCTTCGGCCATAATGTACATTAGATCTCAGATTGTATACATTTCAAAAAATAAGAAAAATTGTGTATATCAAGTTCATTTTAGTGCTAAATAATGGAAGGGGAAGGGGAACCAATTTACTTTAAAGGTTAAATCTGCTCAAGCAATAAAAAATAAATAAATAACGTGAACTCACCTTGAAACAGTTTTTTTGCAGTGCGTGGAAGCAGCAGCGAGGGATCCACAGAGAGTCTGACTCAGAGGAGCAGAGGGAGTCCTCACAAACTCTCACTCTGGACCAATGGGACGTCCCGGGACATCACGGGTTTGCTCTGTATAATGTCATTGTGTAAAAACCACTAAAGAAGAAGTCGTTGCTTAAAGTGGGCCTGGGGTGTCTGGTCTCCGGGCGCTGCGATTTCCCCCACCACCCAAAACATGCACCACGATGATACTCGATCTAACTGTCAAACCACAAATGACATATAGAAATAAAAATAGAGGTATATCTTGCAAAACATGAAATAGTGGCTCACAGGGCTCTTCCTCACAAATACACAAAAGATAATCAGACAAAGACAGCGTGTTGTGGTCTGATTGTTTACAACTTTTTACTTTTATCTTATTTGTTGGGACAAACGGGACATGTAGGTACCCTAGCTTTGATAGAGAATGTATTCTGTGTCATAGAGCTGGAGAAAGTCCTGTCCTCATCTGTATTTTATAAAGTAACAATATGGTTTTTCAGTATACAACTTGGACACAACCTTTGGTCATTGCACTGGAAAAATACAAACATTACGTTTATAACTTCTCCAATAAAGTACACACTTGAGTACATTATAAATCTCTTATTTCAAAATCAATCAAGCGTCAGATGTATTTATTTAATATGGAAAAGAGAAGAAATGTCCCTTTTGGATTGAGAGAAATGGATGATAGATGAAAATCTGTGTCAATGCAAAGGCAAATCATCAGGTCTCATCAAGAAGTGAATTTTTGTTTTTTACATTTGAAAAAGAAAATTCCGATGACCTCAAATGAAGCTGATTAAATGTCCAGATGACTTCACATTAGTTTGTTACATGGGTATAGTCTAAAGTCAAATAACACACAATATCAAAGAGATCCTTCCTGTGAACAGACATGTGACTCGCTGCTGACTCACGCTGACTTTATTCTGTAAATGTGGAGTAAAAGCATTCTCTCCGCTGCTCATGCACCAGTCACACACAGATCTGCAGATAGACGCTCAAACGCTTTTTTAAAAATCTATTTATTTATGTATTATTATTATGTATGTAGCCAGGGCCTTTATCCTCACCGCTGTCAGACTGTACAATAAGTCACTTTAAGAAACCAATGCCCTAGGACTGCAGAACCAGCACCGCTACAGACACTTTTTATTGTACACAATTATATTCTGCGCAGATTATATGTTTAACCTTTAACATGTTGCACACTTGCCAAATGTGACATGTACATTTTTCTAGTGTGAGATCATTAAAGTCTAATCTTATTTCAGGATGTATTCATTGTATTTATGTATGTATGTAATTTATGTATTTATTGTAATTATTATATGTATTTAACTATGTAATTCATTTATTGTATGTATGTATGTATGTGTTTGTATGAATGTATAGATTGATTGTATGTATGTATTTATTGTATGTGTGTGTGTGTGTGTGTGTGTATTGTATGTATGTGTTTGTATGTATGATATTGTATATGTGTGTGCATGTATGTATTTATTGTATTTATGTATGTATGTAATGTATCTATATTTTTATTTGTATGTCTGCCTGTATTTAATTTATTTATTTATTGTATGTATGCTATAATTTATTTTTATTTTTTTATCTATTTATATATGTATGTATGTATGTATTTATTTATTCATTTGTTTATAGACGTCTCCACGGTCTTGTGTTTGTTTCTGTTCATACGCCTTTGAAAAAAATAGTTTAGGCTCAATTCTTACTTGACTTTAATTATATTCTGCCAGTCCATAGTACGTCCAATAAAATCAAAATGGGTGGATCACGAAAGGCTGATAATGGGACATTTCTTTGGGATATTGTTGATATTAAAATAGAACAATACAGAAATATACAGTATAAAAGCGATAGTTTGAATCTGATGCGAACACTTTGACATGAAAAAGTTCTGCATTTAGTACTTTTATGTTCAAAACGTCGGCAGCTTCTTAAAGCGGAGACATGACTCATTGATTGGAGGAAAATGACTTGTGAAAATGGTGCTTTTGTCAAGGCTCAAACGACTCTGTGTTCCTCCTGGAAAGAGAACTATAAAAAGAAGAATAGAAATGTCACAGGGAAAATAACAATGTCAGTAAAAGTCAGAGTTTAACTTTGATCATTCAGAGAGAAAAAAAAAAAACAATTTCCATGTTTTCCTTCTCATTCAGTTTGAAGCCTCAGTGAATGCCAACAAGCCTTATTGATCACGTTTTACTTTTACAAGACAAAATGGCAGGCATATCAAAAATCCGGCCCGCGATACCATTTTTAGTGGCCCCTTTTCACAGTATCAGCAGCATTGATGGTGATGGGCTACCTATGGCATGTTATACTTAATTTTCAAGCCTATTATTAAAAAAAAAGAAGAAGAAAAAAAAATCTGTTGTATAAAAGGTGAACTGAAATGTAATCAGAAGTTATCGTTATTTCATTATTTATATACTAATAATCTTCAAATTCATTTTCTCTTGAAAATAATATACAAACGTGTTAAAATGTCAAGATAAAAAAAGAGAGAGAGTATAAAATCAAACCTTATACTTTTGGCCCCAACCAGCTATTATGTTTTCAAATTTGGCCCCAGTGTGCCAACCCAGATGTACAATCACAACAAATATATACTCTTTAAAACATGGGTGGCAAACTCATGAAAGATCTTTCACACTATGAAACAGTCAATCAATCAATCAATCAATCTTTATTTATAGGGCGCTTTTCCTGCACAGGGCAACACAAAGCGCCTCACAGTCCACACCACACAATGCACAAATCATCACCATTAAAATACAATTAAAAACACATATGTAATTAAAAAGCATTAAAATCACATAAGTAATTTAAAAACATAAAAATCACACAAGTAATTAAAAACAATAAAATAGTTAAAAACACAAAAAGTTACAACAATAAATAACAAGGTGTGTTAAAAAGATAAAATTCTCTAGTTGTATGCACGGGAAAAAAGAAAAGTCTTTAACATGGATTTGAACATTGACAGAGAGGCAGCCAGTCTCACATCCTCAGGAAGACCGTTCCAGACTCCAGCTGCATAAATCTGAAAAGCAGCCTCCCCCTGTCTAGTCCTGACTCTGGGCACTAACAGGAGTCCCGTCCCTGCGCTCCTCAGAGTCCGGGCTGGTTCATATGAGACTAGCATATCATGGATGTACTTTGGTGCAAGGCCATGGAGAGACTTGTACACCAGGAGAGCTGCTTTAAAGTCTATCCTCTGGGCCACGGGAAGCCAGTGCAGAGACCTGAGGACCGGACTAATGTGGTCGTACTTCCTGGTTCTAGTCAGGACTCGGGCTGCAGCATTTTGAATATACTGCAACTGTCTTACTGCATGTTTGGAGATACCTGTGAGCAGGCCATTGCAGTAATCCAGCCTACTGGAAACAAAAGAATGGATAAGAATCTCCAAGTCTGCCCTGGACACAATATTTTTAATTTTGGCAATATTTTTCAGATGATAAAAAGCTGCTGATGTTACCGATCCAATGTGGCTATTGAAGTTTAAGTCAGAGTCCATTATTACTCCCAGATTTCTGACCTTATTTAAGGGCCTTAGGGAGAGAGACTGAAGGTGACAAATGACGGTCTCTCTTTGTTTCTCGGGACCAAAGACAATCATTTCGGTTTTGTCCGCATTTAGCTGGAGAAAATTGCATTGCATCCACTCACTGATCCGCTGGATACAGCGAAGGAGTGAGTCCACCGGCCCATGCTCTCCTGCAGTCAGTGAGACATAGATCTGAGTGTCATCAGCGTAATTGTGGTAGGACACTTTCATACTTTGAATTAACTGACCTAATGGCAGCATGTAAATATTGAACAGGAGAGGTCCCAGAATCGACCCCTGTGGCACTCCGCAGGTCAGGGCCATATTATCTGAGACATAGTTTCCAATCTCCACACAGTACTTCCTTTCTTCTAGATAGGACCTAAACCAGCTTAGGGCGGTACCAGCAACACCAACCCAGTCCTCCAGTCTCTGCATGAGAATCTCATGGTCAACGGTGTCGAAAGCGGCACTCAGATCTAACATGACTAAAACAGAGACTTTTCCTGCATCAGTGTTAAGCCGAATATCATTTGTTACCTTGACTAGAGCGGTCTCAGTACTGTGGTGTGGTCTAAAGCCAGACTGAAACATGTCAAATGAGTCATTAGATATTAAAAATTCAGTAAGTTGTTGGTAGGCAACTTTTTCAAGAATTTTTCCCATGAAAGGCAGATTTGAGATGGGACGGTAATTTTCAAGTACCGCAGCATCCAAACTGCTCTTTTTTAGGAGGGGCCTAATGACTGCCTTTTTCAGGGCCATTGGAAATGTTCCAGATAAAAAAGACATGTTTACTATTTGTGTCAATGAGGGTAATAGACTACACATAACAGACTTCAGAAATCTAGGAGGTAGTACATCCAGACTGCAGGTAGAGGAACTAAGACCTGTGATTATCTTTTTAACAGTTTCATCATTGACAGGTGCAAATTGAGCTAGCTCACAAAGCCTCACTGGATGTTGCATTGTTACTTGTGCTTATTTGTGACCATTTTTACCTTCACAGGGGCAATGGCGTCCAGAACATTCAACACACTAGAGGTGACAGAGTTAAACAGTTCATCTACAGTAGAACATGATGTGTTCTCAAAATGGATCATTCCCATAAATAGTTCACCCGTGTTTTCATTTAAGTGTCTACTTCTAACAATTTCATATTTAGCGGGTGGTCTGGTAGCAAAATACATGTTAAAAAATACACAGAAATGATCCGACAGAGCAACATCAACTACATTAACTTTTGAAATATTCACCCCTTTCGTGATAAGCAGGTCCAGGGTGTGTCCTCTGCTATGGGTGGGGCCACTCACATGCTGAGTGAGGCCAAAGGATTCAAGTATGGAACTCAGCTCTTTTGCGTATCTGTCATTAACATTATCCACATGAATATTAAAATCGCCTATAATGACTAAACCATCAAAATCTGTGCACACAACTGAAAGCAACTCAGTGAAATGATCAGTGAAACTATGGCATGACTGTGGCGGCTTGTACACAACAATAATAAGAATGGAAGAAGATTTCTTTTGTTCTATTTTAAAAGAAACATACTCAAATGATGAAAATTTCCCAAGAGACACTCTATGGGAGACAATACGATCTTTAAAAACTGCTGCTATGCCCCCCCCCCTTTTATTTTCTCGTGTTTCATATTCAAATTTGAAATTTGGTGGTGAGGCTTCTATTAAAACTGCATCTCCTGTATTATGGTCAAGCCATGTTTCAGTCATAAACATAAAATCAAGATCATACGAACAGATAAAATTATTAATTAAAAATGATTTGTTGCATAGTGATCTGACATTAAGTAGAGCAAGGTTAAAATTAATATCAGTGTCAGTGGGTTTAGTTGATTGATTACAAAGAACTGGAATTAGATTTCCAGAGTTGGACCGTCTAACTGCTGTCCTTCTTTTAAATTTGTGTTTATTCAAGTTAAAACACATTTCTGAGCTGGTGCGAGGAACACACACAGTCTCTATTGGTTTAAAAAGTGAACTCTGTTGTACTTTGTTAAGTTCCAGATGCATAACTGAGTCAGCACAGTTCAGTGGCAGGACTGTCGTTACACTGCCAGACGGACAGAGGTCAGTGTTTGCACCACAGTACTCACCCGGTGCTGGTAAGGAGGAGGAGGAGGGGGGTGGTGGGGGCCGAGAAGCCTCAGATGTAAACAGTCACGCCCCCCTCGGGGAGCACTGAACAACATGGCGTAGGAAGTCCGTCAACAAACTGGTGCCGTATCTGACTCTCGTACATGCGCATGAGAGTCCCATTCGAAATCCTCTGTGCCAGACCACCCAACTTGGGCGCGGGACCCCCGAACAGAGATCTGCCAAGCACCTCTTTGTGTGATGACGACATGCTGTCCTATTGTAAGGAAATTAATGC